CTCGGCTGCGGCGAGCCCGGACTCGCGACCGCCTCAAACCCTAAACCCTAGGCCCCAAACCCTAAACCCTAAACCCTAAACCCTAAACCCTCGCCGCCAGTCAGGGCTCTGGGGGGGTTTTCCGGGGCTCCGGCGGTGATTTGCGCGTCGGCCCAGCGCGCAGCCCAAACCCTCGCCCTCGGGCCCCAAACCCTAAACCCTAAACCCTAAACCCTAAACCCTAGCTCTTCAATCATGGACCCTCTCCCAGACCCTAAACATGACCGCGTTGTCTCTTCTGTCCAACCCCCTCCCGCTAAACCCTTATCATCTTCTTTTCTTTTTCCGGAGGGTCCAGACGCCCCGCCCAACTGGAGAGTGAGTCGCGAGGGTTTAGGGTTTAGGGTTTAGGGTTTAGGGTTTAGGGTTGCGGGGGGTGGCGAGGGCTTGCGCTTTCGAGGGCTTCCGGGGTTTGCGGGGGTTTGGGCTTTACGGGGTTTCGAGGGTTTGCGAGGGTTTGGGTTTTCAGGGGTTTGGGAGGTTTTCGAGGGTTTGGGGTTTAGATAGCGCGGGATTTTCTAGGGCTTGGGGTTTTAGGGTTCGGAGGGTTTGCGAGGGTATGGGGTTTGAAGGGTTTGCGAGGGTTTGCGAGGGTTTGCGAGGGTTTGCGAGGGTTCAGGGTGCCTGGAAGGGCTTTAGAGGGTTTACGGGGGAAATGTGGGGGTTTTAGGGATATCCGAGGGTTTAGGGTTTAGAAGGGTTTGGGGTTTAGGAGGGCTTTTGAGGGTTTAGGAGGGTTTAGAAGGGTTTAAGAGGGTTTCGGAGGGCTTTTGAGGGTTTTAAAGGACTCAGAAGTTCTTGTGAGGGTATTTAAGGGTTTATAAACCCTGCGAGGGTTTTCAAGGGTTTAGGAAGCCTTAAGCATCCATGAAAGATTTGGGGTTTAGGGTTTAGGGTTTAGGGTTTAGGGTTTAGGATCTATCGAGGGCCTACGGCTTCAGCCCTAGAGCCTAGGGTTTGTGGCGGAGGCTTCGGGGCTCAGCGCGGAGCGCACCGCTTTGGGTCCAGGGTTTAGGGTTTAGGGTTTAGGGTTTAGGGTTTAGGGTTTAGGGTTTGCGTGCAGGAGCTGCGCTCTCACCTGCAGCGCGAAGGAAGGGTTTACAAAGAAGACTGTTTAGACATAATTCGAAGAGTGACGGAAATCACCAGCAACGAGCCAAACCTCCTCAGGCTCAGCGACCCCATCACAGGTAGGGTTTAGGGTTTAGGGTTTAGGGTTTAGGGTTTAGGGTTTGGGGGTTGGGGGTTGGGG